CACACCTTATGGCAGGGCCTGGATAACTGGAAATGGGGGAGAATATTCACCTTTGAAAAAACGTCCAGCACCTGGCAGGTGAGGCTGCGAGCTCGGACCCCTGCCCATGTCCCTGAAGGCCAGGCCAAAGACCACAAACACCTTCCTTCTCAATCACCTTGGCAAAATGACTCCTTGGCCCAGTCCTCCAAAGGCCAGAACCAGCTCCAAGAATGCGAGCGTGAGGCAGACACCAGGACGTCAGGAAGAGGGCGGGATGTGACCTGAAACCTCTCACACACACTAATGTTTTTCTTAGGGAATTCCCTCCCTCAGCTCTTTCTCTCAGGTTCCCATCATGGTGACCCGGGTAGATTCTGTTGAGCCTGCGAGGGGGAGAGCAGGCCTCCTCGGGATGGTGACAGAGCGGGGCGCTCTGTGATGGACTGTTGGAATTAATGAAGGAAGGGGCCCGGAGCCAGCTCGTTTGCCCACGGGCAGTTTTAGCAGCAGTGTGCAATTGGTAATTGAAATCAGGGGTGAGTGCTGGTATGCAAGAAGCCAGCTTCCAATACAAACACAGAAGACGACTCAGGCACCCACTGGGCCTCTCTCCTCCATCGCCAAACCTTCCAGGGTGTCTGGGCCCAGCCCCCGTGGAGAGAAAGAGTACTACTGAGGAGGCCCGTCAGCAGAGTCTGAAACTGGCTTTGGCGGGGCCATGGCGGTGGAGTTAGCCTTCCTGTGTGGCCACCAAGGAGCCCAGTTTGCTTCCCTTATTCAGCCAACAGGCTGGCTGCTGGGGCTCCAAGATAAATCAGACAGATGTGACCCTTTGTGCCCGGTGCTGTGGGTACAGACCTGACTAGACATAGTCCCTGCCCTCCTGGAACTCAGTCATGGGGCGACAGATGTGAAAAGAGCCCACTCCAGTACAGTGAGGTGAATTTCACACGGCAGATGTAGCAAGGAACAGAGAGTGGGAGGGACAGACAAGGCTTCCTCACCCAACCTCACCCGTGTCTTTCAAGTACTGAGAACAGTGTCTGGAACATAGTAGGTGCTCAGTAAGCATGTCTGCGATGGAAAGGAGTGAGGCAATTAAGGAAAGGCATTCCAGGCAGAAGAACTTCACACACAAAAGTTGGGAGGAGGAAAAAACAGGCGACCTGATGAAAGGCTAGAAGGAGCGCCCTAGAACTGGGTCTCAGGAGGTGAGGGAGTGAGCAGAGGCTACAAACCCTTCTTAAAGATCCCTAACAATCGAATATATCTACTCAAATTGGTATTTGCCCAAGGTTACACACAGTCTCTCAGTGATGGGTTCTAGAGCCAGAGACATAGGGGCTCACATTTAATAAACGTGGGTTATACCCCAGGTCTGGGCTGGATCATTTATACAAGCTGCACATACAAGTTGCCTCACCCAGTCGCATCCCATGACCCAGTGAGAGAATCTTTGTGGACCCATTTTACAGATGCATAAAGTAAGACTCCAAAAGGACAAACAAGGTGCCTGAGCTCACTCAACTCTCGAGGGGCTAAGCAGGAAAGAAAGACAGGTGATTAGAACGTCCAGGCTCTTTCACTCTCCAGAGTGAAGTTGAAGTCTGAGACAGTTGGGGCAGAAACAAGGGCGAGGCCTTTGTCCACGCCCAGCCATCCTTTGAGGGCTGGCCCCAGTGAGCGTCAGCCAGAACCAGAGCACCCGTGGCTCCTGTGGCTGGGGAAGTTGGGCGGGGGGGAATGTCCTGTCAGTCACAGTCTCCTATGACAGGGCACGAGGCAGCTGCTGGACCTGGCGCTGGACCCTAGGAGCTGAACACTCAGGGTGAGCCCGCTGTGCCCCCACCTCTCCCTTGCCCCTGAGGTGGTGACCCCCAGCTGCCTCACAGCCATGGCTGACAGGTCTCTGGGAGACACCTGTTTTTCATTGCAAGCCCCTGTGGCTCTCAGGCAGCGGCTGTGTTTGTTTTGGGGGGGGCGGGGGTTGTAGGGTGGAAGGGGAAAGCTGTTTCTGGAGGTCTGCAAGGATTTAGGTTGCTAAGGAGGCCACAGACAGCCCTCAAGGAAATGAGAGTGGGGAAGGGATCTCCAGTGCAGCACAGACGCTGGCCTGGGGTTCCTGCTCATTCTCAGAGGGGCGGAGGGGTGGCAGACTCGGGGTTGTGGTGGAGACAACATTGCTGAGGACAGGCCCTTAAAGAAGGTTCCCTGTGCCATTTATTTATTCATTCATTCACTCACTTAATATTGGAACATATCACTGAGTGCCAGAGTCACAAGAATGAATCAAACACGCTCCCAGCCTCTAGGGGCTCACTGTCTGCTGGGGGGACAATGAAGCAAACAGACCAGTCATGTGATGAGTGCTGTGACAGAGGGCAGCAGCAGAGGGGGCTGGGAGAGGCATGCAGGATAGAGAGGCTAACTACTAGGGGCAGGGGCAGTCAAGGAGGGCTTTCAGGAGGAGAGGGCACTTTATAGAGTCTTGAAGGTCAAAGTACATGTGGAAAATGAGAAAATGACATCTCACACAGGGTGAGGAACAACGGCTGCAGGGATAGAAGTCGAAGAAAATTTTGTGCAAATGGCAAGAAATTCCATATGAATTTCCAGCCACTCCAAATGGCTGGAGAAGAGCGTGTTGGGGAAACGGCAGGACTTGGGGCTGAAGGAGGAAACGGCAGGTTGAGGGGCTCCTTAAATGCCCTCCCATCTGTCCTCTTCTCTTCCCCTAGTCAAATCCACTTCCCTTTTTCCTTCTCTCCCCTGCCCCAAACCCAACTGTGACAATAAGTCACACCCTGAAAGCCCCTATGATTCCTCAGGTGCTGGCAGAAGCAATTCATGCAGTTTAATGTTTGTGTTTATGAAGTATCGATTTCCCCATTTTACAGATGATGAAACAGGTTCTAAGAGGCTAAGTCATTTGACCAGATCACCTCACAGCTCCTATAGAGCACAGTCAGGGGTTGCATCCAGAAGCCACAAGTTTAGGCATCACAGCCTGAGTCCAGCATACAGTAGATGTATGTCCAGCCCCAAAGACTGCTCCAGAAGACTGTGGGCCACGGAGATGAGAAGACAGTTCCACAGACCTTGGACCTGATCCTGTGATGAGCACTCGGAGCCATACAAGAAAAGACCTGTGACAATGTTCCCTAAGCACAGCCTATTCCCTGGAAAGGAGTGAAGGCAGCAGGGGGATGAGGGGAGGTCCTAAAATAGTGCATGACCCAGGCAAGATAGCCTAGACAGCCAGGCTCGAGCATTTGAGGAGCTCTGAGAAGGGGCTGGGAGAGGTCAGGGAGGGCTTCCAGGAAGCAGGGGCACTGAGGCTAGACTCTGTAGGGCAGGTAGTCTAGATAGGGCAGGAATTCCAGACACCACTAGATGGTGACTCTGAGATTCTAGATGTGTTATGTCCAGGATGGTCCTCTGATATTCTAGCTTATCTTTCTTGCCACAATGAAAATCCACTCTCTCATGTCTCGGGGAGGGCGGGGTGTAGCAGAACAATGTGATGAGAGAAGCTGCTCCCTCCATCACTCATGGAACATTCTTCTCAAGCTCTAATGGGTTAGAAACCAGTGCTACTGCCTCCCTCCTGGTCTTTTCCCAGGCGAATCCTCCTGAATTCCTGTTAGGATCTGTGACATACATGCTGTGTGCTATGGGGAAGAGCTTTAGAGGCGGGATGCCTGGGTTGGGTTGGGTTTGTTTTGTAAAGAGGAGCTCTTTCCCATTACAAAGCCTGTGAACACGCACTGCCCTGCCTTGTTCTCACCAAGTTACTATTATTTCCATTTTGCAGCTGGCAGAACTAAGAGTCAGAATGAAGTCTTAATAGACAGAGGTGCTGCTTAGACTCAGGAAAAAAAATAAAACAAAACAAAGCTATTTACTCAGCTTTCAAGCCACAGAGCTTTCTGTGGCTTCCCAGGGTGCTCCAAGTGGACCTCAGACCCCGGCTCCATCACACTGCATAGAAAGCACAGGCTCACCTGGCTCTGGGGTTGGACTGTGAATACTTGATTTATCTGGATGCCCAGCACCTTTCAAGCTGTCTAACCCATAGGAAGAGCTTGACAAGTGTGTAGCAAGTGAATGCGTAGTAAAACATCAGTCATCATATTTTGAGAACCTATAGTGTCCTCAAATGGGGATATAAATAATGCAATCACTCCTGCAAGCTAGATGTTATTCCATTTTACAGAGAAGCAAACAGGACTAGAGGGACACTTCCAAGGTCACCTATCTAGTAAGTGGCAGAGCAGAATTTGAATCCAGATCTGTCTCATTCCAAAACAGGGGCCTTCACAGCTATCCTACTGGATAAAGACATTTTTGTTTCCTAATCCTCCCCCCCTCTCTCCCTTTCTCCCTTGCCTCTGAGGCAGACAAGCCGTGGTTGAGGAGGCCACGTGGAAGCATGCACCCCAGATAATCATCTGGAAGACTGGCCGTAAGCCAAGATGGGGCTGGAAAAAGCGAAGATCAAGCTCTTCACGCCCAACCAGACTCCTGCTTCCTGCACCCCCACACAGCCCGGGGAAAGCCAGTGACCACAGCTACAGTCAGGGCGGGCAGTGGGCAGAGCCAGGAGCTCCAGTTCTTTTTGCCCAGGCTGGCGGGGGCAGAGGGGTTTGAGCAGTTCAAGTTTAAGCGGCCCTAGGGAACCTCATCGGGAGCTAACGGGCATTCCCGCCTCCTCTCTCGCTGGAGAACTCCTGCTCATCCTTGGAGGCCCACTTGGATGCCACCTCCACTGGGGTGTCTCCTCAGAACCTACTGTTTGATTGTTAATCTCTCCAATGAGCACCTCACTGGTGCTCTGTGTTTGCTTACTTATTAAATGAATAGCTCAATAGGCGATTGAATATTAGACCAGTGAGTTAAGTACGTGAATAAATGATTAAATGAAAAAGTGAAAAATGAAGTAAATAAATAAATAGAAGAATGAGAGAATGAAAGGGTGAATGAAGGAATGAGTGGCTGGCTGGCTGGGTGAGTGAATGAACAGCGTCCACTTGGCCCTCCCGCCAGTGAGCTATCCAGGAGGCTGAAGAATCTCTCTGCCATAGGGAGCTCCAGGAATCTGCGGTGAGCCCAACAGCAAAGGCTCCTGAGGCTGCAGGCCTATCCCAGGAGGCAGCAACAGGCAGAGGGGAGCTTCCTTAAACCCCTCCCGGGAAAGCTGGGGAGAGCAGCTCCATTGCTGGTCGGCTCTGTCCTTACTTGCCAGGTAAGCACAGGGAAACCAGTGCCTCTGTATGAGCCTCAGCCTCCTCATCTGTAAAATGAGAGGCCTGGACTGGACTAGACAGTTCCTAAGGGCCTTCTAGTGGGACAGACAAAGCAAGAGTTCTAGAGAGGACACCACCCAAGGGAATAGAACTTACACATCTAGTCAGCTGCTCTGCCCAAGCTGGGTCACTCCTCCAATTACGCAGCTCATGTAATCATCCCTTCCAACATGGCATACTAAGTACATAGCATGTGTTGCTGTGTGCAGCTGACTCTCAAGGATTGCAGGGGCTCAGAAAGGGGGATACCAAGGAGGGCTTCCTGGAGGAGGGGGCGCTGGTGCTGGGCCAGGAAGGATAGGGGAATTTAAATAGGTGAAGGTGTGCTGAGGAGGCTCCTGGGTGTGGTAACGAGCATAAGCAGTGCCTGGAGGAAGAATGCTTCCTTGGGTAAAGGGAGACGAAGGAGTGGAAAGGGATCTAGGAACAAACAGATAGGCCTCAGCTTCCTGAACAGCCTTTCACAGAGAACTCAAATCCCCATGAGGCATCAATCTGCTACTGTCTCATTGGGGATGAGACTTGGGCGTTTTCATCGTAAAATGGGAATGGCCATGGTCCCTGTCTCATAGGGTTTTCCTGAGGACAAGGGAAGAGAATGCATGCCCAGTACCAGGCACACAGTACGAGCCCAGTGTCTCTAGGAGGCAGGTGTTATTTTCTTTCTGTGCAGTAAAGTCAGTAAGATTCAGAAAGGGGAAGCAGTGTGCCCAAGGTCACACAGCATGCCAACCCGAGGTCTCTGGACTTCCTGTCCCCAGGCTTAATCCCCAGAAAATCAGAGGTCAAGGGTACTGTAGGTTTAAGACACTAGCCTCTTCTGTCTTCAAAATGTTGCATGACCTGGGCCACGTGACTCTGAGTCAGAGCATTTTCATCCAAAAAGAGTGCTGCCTTTTCAAGGTGACCCCTGAGGAAGTGGGGGTGATTTCCCTGGGAGCTGCCCACCTGCCCTATTCTGGGGCTACTGCTGCCTCTTTAGAAGCTGAAAAGCCTTCTTTGAGGTGGCTCTGAAGCAGGTAAACCTTGGTCTTCTGAGTCCTGTTTCTGGAAGTAGAAAAGACTCTTGTAGGGAAAGCTCAGACAGAAATAGAATTTAGCCACACTGCCCTGTGCAGACTTCCCTGGCAGTGCCTGCCCCTGCCCTGGGCTATAACTCCCTGGAGGATAGGGACCCTGTGTTCTGCAGTACTGAGCATAGGGCTGTGTGTAATAGGTGCTTCAGAATGAATGAATGAACAAACGAATGATGCTGTGGGGACCTGGGAAACCTCTCTGTCCTCTGGTCTATCTCTTTTATTTTATTACGGCCCAGCAAGAGGAAGGGACTGTCCCAAGCCCACCCAGAGTCAGTGGTACATGCAGAGCCATAATCTACCATCTCGGATTCCAAGTACAGTGCTCCCTGCACCCCACAAGCTGCCCTGACTACGGACTACTCATTTTATGACAGGAACTAGCAACGCCTTTGAGGTTTGCATCCTCAGCACACAGCACCACACTTGGCCAGCCACATGCTCACTCAGTGCATGTCGAGCTGGACCTCAGCATTTTCTCTGTGCTTGGAGCTTGTGAAACCTCTCTCTTGGTGGTATCTCTCCCTGTCTTTAGGTCTCCCAGGTAAGACAGTTCAGGGTGGTCCGATGGTTTAGGTCGGGCTGAACTGTAAATTTCCAAAAGTGGAGGCATTTCTGGGCTGGAGATGATGATCTCTGAAGATGCAAAAACGCATGTTCCCTCTGGCGCCAGAGGAGGCAGTGTAGGAAAACAAGCCTGCAGTGGGGCTGGAGAGCTGAGCAGAAGCTCCCTAAGCCCTTCCTGGACCCCTCCCCCGACTCTCAGTCTGACACACACAGTCTTCGTCACAGAGTCACTGTCTCCCTCCAGGCGTCCCAGGCTGATGTCTCAGTGCTGGGGGCTCCATCTCCCCTGCCAACTCATGCAGCAGTATCTCTGCTCCATTCTAAAGCTGATTGGGTTTTTGTATGCTGCAAAGATGCTTCAAGAACTTGAGAGTGTGGGGATCAACCAAGTCAACTGTCTCTGAAACCCTCTCTGGCCTCATGACCTTTTGTGTGCAAAATGCCTACTGTGTGCAAAGAAGTATGCTAGAAATTCTGACTCAATGACAGGGACACTACCTGTCACCTCTGTATCCCCAGCATCTAGTAAAGGACCTCACATCCATTTATGTAGTAGTTGCTCAATAAATGACTGTAAAGAAAATTAAAGGAGCTGATATTTACTGAGTACCTAATAGATTCTGTATAAGCAATATCTCAAATTCATACCTCAACTAGAAAAACAAGTCTTGTGATGCCCAAGTGACAGTAAGTAAACCTGTTCAGAGAGGCTAGGTAAGCTGCCCATGGCCACATAGTTAATAGGCGGCAGAGCTGGGGTTTAGGCTAGGGCCTGTCCATCTGTAAAGCCACACGCTCTCTGCTGTCTCTGCTGCTATAGCCCTCCAGGTCTCCATTTCACCAGTGGTATGATTAGCATATACACTCTCTCTTCTGGTTCCCGGGATAAGCAGCAGTGTGGGCTGGGGCTCTGGGCCCAGGATGTAGCTGGCGTGTGCCTAGCCTAGTGCCAGGTTCAGAGCAGGCACTTGCTATCTGTAAGGACAGTGACCGAATCAAGGGGCCTTGGGTAGGACTCCACCAGAGGCCACAAGCAGGACTGAGTGGGTAACTAGGGTTGGGGCCCAGTCTGGGGCCAGGGCTTAATCCCAATGGGTGGCCTCCCCTGCGCCAGAGCCCTGTCTAGGTTCCCATATGTGAAAGGGGTCCTAGTAACCTCCTCCCTGCTTACTTGCTCCCCAGTGACTGTGACACAGGATCAAAGCAGAAGAATACACAGCAGTGCTTTGTGAGCTGAGAGGTGCCTCACCCCAGCTGACACCCGCCGCTCAGTACGTGGACTCCTGCCCTGGGCCACGATCCACGAAGAACCTCCAGCCAAGCCAGTTTCTCTAAGAGCAAGCAGGGGCAGTGACCGGGTAGCATCTAATGAGAAAAGATGGTCTTGTCCGCCGGGACAGATTCCGCTCGCCCTTCCATCCTCCGTCTAATCTCCACCTCTCCTATTTGACCCTTAGCTGGGGTGGGTGCTATTGGAGCCTGAGACGGGCTGCTGGACAAAGGGTGTGGCATTTTCAAAGCAGTCATTTGGCCTGCACTTAGCCAGAAAGAGGAACAGAAGAAAGGGAGTACAGAACGCATCAGCTCAAAACCTCCTCCCACGGTGCTGCTTGCACAGCTGCTTCTTTTGATGAAGGAAGGTTCTTCTGGGCCGTGGCGGAGGACCAGTGTTCCACTGCAGGGGTGGTGGGCAGGGCGCAGGGAGCCATCCTACCCTTTGTGAGTCATGATCCTTCAGTGACTAAGAACCTGCAGGTGTGAAAAGCGCAAGGCTCTGTCTGTGACCAGGCAGGGCTCGGGCTCCATTTGAGGCCAGAGTCAAGTGTCAGGGTGTGACCCTAAACTGACTTTGATTCCTGAGAGGTCACTCAGCCCAGAAAGTAACTGAATCATTCCCCTAATATTGCCGGCCAACTGATCCAGCTTTTTTTAAACCTCATCCAGACATTTCAGCTTCTTTACGTTCTAAGATGGGACACAAACCTCTCAGGATTCCAGTTTTTATTAGTCCTACCTCCAGTTCCTTCTTGTCACTTTCCCTCAGACATCCCTGTCCCATTCTTTGGTCTCTTTACACATTTCATGAGGATGCTCTTGAAAATACCGTAGACTTTAAAGACATATTAGCACTTCACAGAGCCTTTCTCCCTTTTTAAATGAAGAAGAATTAAAAAAGTACCACGGAATTAAATTGGAAAAAGAATGAGAAGGGACAGGGGTTTGAAAGAAGAATTTTTATATTTTATATTGAGACTAATTCTGGTTACTATTTCACTTCATTAAATTTAAGAACTAATCTCCAAGTGAATGGGAAAAATATCTGTACTGTAAGTAGCAGGAGCAACTAACATTTACAGAGAGCTAATAACGTACCAACTTCTATTGTTAAAATTCTGTCATTTAATCCTCACTGAGCACAGCCCAGAGAAGTAATTACCGTTACTATCTCCATTGCACATAGTGCAAAGGATGCTGGAGCCTTGTGGCCTAGTTTATTTAGATCTGATCTCAGAGGACACAGAAAATCTCAGAGTCATACAGTTTGTTCTGTGGAGTAAGGTCTTTTCTGGGGTGCAAGAGATGGAGTTAATATTTATTTGAGCATTTAGTCCATGCCATTTACTACTTAGCACATGCTAAGCTGTTGGCAATCATTATTTCGTCTAATCTTGAATCAAGTTATTAGACAAGAAAAATGCTTCTATAACCCTCCCCTGAATACCAAGCAGGCTGCCTCAGATCATGCCACGAGGTTACCAGCTATGCCAAGAGCTGGATGGCAGGTCCTTTTCCAGTTGAGAGGCGCAGCCAATGACCACCCAACGGCTATGTGTGCAGAGGGATTAGGGAGGACAGGACTGTAGATGTAGCTTTCAAACATTTTTACTGAGACAGGAGGCCAAGGTGACTTCCCCAGGGAATGCAGCATCGCAGGCCGGTACAAACCTCTCAGCCATCCACCCCTCCTCCAGTCCCCATGCTTCAGGGAGCCCATCCTCACAGCCTTTTCTAAGTGCTGACTGTGGATGCAGCTGAGAGACATAGATACAGTACAAATCTTAGTTCCTAGGTTCAAGTCATGGATGGAAACCAAGATCCACCCACAAACAAGTCCATGCAGCACAGGTACACACAAGGCACACCGGTGGGGATTGTATGACGCAGGCTGAGTTCACACAACGGAGCGATGGAGGTGAGGGTGAAGTCCCTTCAAAGGGCTTTGGAGGCCCGGAAGGGCTGAGGTTGAGCAAGGCAAGGAGCTAGGAGGGCCAGCAAGTGCTACGGTGAGGGCAAAGGCTGAGCTGACCCTGAGTGGAGGCCTGGCTCCACTTTTAGCTCTTGTGAACGGTGGCCCCGAGGACTGGGTGGGCTCAGACCACCAGAGGTGCCAGGTGCAGCCTTTCAGCTCTGGGTGACTCAGTCCTGTAGTCCCGTTTCCCTGACAATACGGGTAAATATGAGATCTGTAAATCCATCTGCAAACATCTACTCTTCCAGCACCTTCTCCCTTCCAAGCTAACAAGCCCAAAGCCATCCCAGGGGGGTGTGAGCATGGCAGTGCCAAGCACGGCAGAGCGTCTGTGGGCATGAAGACAGGCTTCCCTCCTCCTGAGCCCCTCCCTCCAGAGAGCCATGCCCTTCTAGGCCAAGCAGGCTGCAAGGGAAGAGCAGGCCAATGTCCCAGTAGCCACAAAGGATGCTGCTCCTTTGTCAGGAGGGGCCTCCCCACTAGGAGAAACGCAGGGCCATCCATGATGGGAAGTGCCTATTGAACATGCTGGCCCAGGGTACCAAGAGGAGGCTGCTAAAGGGAGAAAGTCCCCCCTCCCCAAAGAGAGTTGAGGAGTATAGGGAAGAGCACTGACCAGGCATTGCCAGGAGTGGGCAAGCCCTGGGACCTCTGTGAGACTCTGGTTCTTCTTCTAGACTAGGGAGACATTCTCCTTGCCCTGGCTTCTGCACAGAAGCTGAATGGAACGGAAAGGAATTACAAGGATGACCTTGGCTTGAACAGTGTCTCTGCTCCTCTCCCCAGCAAGTGTCAGTCTTTGTGGCTAGGTGGGGCCTTGGAGATCGTCCAGCCCTTGCTACTCAGAGGGTGGCCCATGGACCAGAAGCGCCGGCAGCAGCTGGGAGCTTGTCAGAAAAGCTGACTCTTGGGCCCACCTCAGACCTTCTGAATCAGAATCTGCATTTGAACATGATCCCATGGTGATGCAGGGGCACAGGAAAGTTGGAGAAGCATCGTTCTAGTCGATCAAGTCCAACCCCTTCACATTGCCAGTAAAAAAACGGAGGCTCAGTGGGAATAAGTCACTTGCAGGAGGTCACAGCATTAATAAGCAGTAGATGTGAGCCCTGGGAGCAGTGTGGTGCAGAGGAAGGATTATAGGCCTAAAAGCAGAGCAACCTGGGTTCCAGTCCTGCCTCTGCTATAATATGCTCTGTGACTTTGAGAGAAGCTAGCTAATTTCTCTGAGCTTTAGTTTTGTCATCTGTAAAGCGGGTATAATAACAGCTACCTTTGGTGATTATGGTGAGGATTGCAATGAGATGACACATCAGGTGCCCTGCCCAGAGTATGCCTTATACCTGGTGTTCATAAGTTTTGCCTTCCTATACCCTACTGTCTCTAAATTCCACAATCCACAACGACTGGGCCCAAGAGTCTATGAAAAGACTGAGTTTCTACCTCCGATAGTGCAGACACAGTTGCTGACCTGAGAAAAGGGGAAAGGATAGGCAGGAGATTAGCAAGGTTCTTAAGGCTTACATCGTCTATCCTTTCCTTTCCAAAAAGTTCCCAATCAAATCCTCTAGCCAAAAGCCAATCTGCAAACAGGTGTCCCTATGTTAGTAAAGTGCCCAGTGCACAGCACATGTTCAGTCAGTTTGAAGCGTGTGTGACTGAGTGGTCCCTCAGGCCCTCACTCTGAGCTCTGGAACTCTCACTTTCCCTACTTCTATGTGCCTGGATTCTACTCACCCTTCAGGGCCCAACCCAAACATCATCCGCTCCAAGAAGACCATAGTAATCCCCCCCGGGGAAATATCCCCCCAGCAAAACTCTAACTGCTTTAACATAACCTACAAGGCTCTGTCTACCTCTCAGCCTCACATTTTGACCCTCCTTGGCTAGACCAGATGACTCGCAGGTCCCTGAGCACAGGCAACTCTTGTCTCAGGGCCTTTGCACATGCTGTTGCCTTTGTTAGGAACCCTCTTCCCACAAACTCCCCTCTTCATCTAATTCCTATTCCATCTTTATGTCTCAGCCTATATGTTAGTTTAGACATAAATTTTTCCTATAGGGCCAGGACTAGGGTGAGGCAAGGGAGGCCCCTGAGGCACAAAGTTTATGGAGGTGCTGGCTCTCAGGTGCTGCCCCTGCACTTGCACAACCTTGAGAGAATGAATCTCCTTACATTTTGAGTCCTAGGTGCCTCCCTTGCCTTATCCTAGTCCCCAGTTATTTCTGAGCCCGACTCTATGCTATCCCCTCATCACACCTTTTTCTGAAGAGTACTGTCCTTGTCTGGGTATTTACCAGTACCCCTGAACTGTCACCTCCAGAGCCAGGACCACTTCTGGGTTGCTCACCATTTTATTCCCAGAGCCTGGCACACAGCAGGCACTGAACCAATGCTTGTTGAATGGACATGGAAGTTTGGTCTCCCTCCTGCCCTCTCAAATCCCACAGGAGGTATCACACGACAGCACCCAGTACCCTCTGCCTTGTGTCCAGAAAGCTGCACTCAAATCACTAGATAGCGCTTCTTGGGGCCCAACACCCAACCCAGGGCCTGCCATGGAGGGGTGCTCATACATGTTGGCTGGACAGGGTTGTGCTGCTGCAGTGACGCTCTGGTGGGGGCACTCTGGACACTGAGCAGCTGGGGCTGACCCAGTCTGGACAACTCCCACGGAGTCCTCACCTCAGTCTCCCCCTGTCCAGCGCTTCTCCAGCAAGACGGCCCATTGAAACCTTATCTCCAGGCAGCTCCCTGCTGCTTAAAATTTTGCAACCAACTTCCAGTTGCGTGCGTCCAAACTTCTCAAGCAAGACACCCAGGCCCTCCACACTTCCTTTCCACATTCACCTCTGCCGCTTCCTGCCAGGCCGCCTTCACCACTGGCTTGCCAACGCTCAACAGCCTGCCCTTTCTGCTCCTTCCCCCACCCCACGCCTTTGCCCCCTCTGCCACACACACACACACACACACACACACACACACACACACACACCCACACCACTGGCATTTCACACATGTGCGCCCTTGCCCACTTTTATCCTGCTGGCTGGAATGTCCTCCCGCCAGCCTCGCTTTCAGACTCCGAGTGGATGGTACTTTCTTTTCCGGGCATCTTCTCGGGCACTCCTCTTTTGCCTTTGGGCTTTTGCATCTGCTGTCCCCTCTGCTAGCTACTCTTTCTGCTACTTTTTCCTTGTCTCGTCCTATCCTTCAGTTTCCCTGAGGCAAAAGTCCTTTCCCAGAATCCCACTGCACCGACTCCAGGATGCAAATAGCTGGTTGTAGCATAGACCTCACGCCCCACTCCCCCACCTCCGTCCCTCCACATAGGCCCTGACTCTACCATACTGCAGTGCTCAGTGGAACCAGCTCTCCCTCGTCTCCGATTCCCCAGCACCCAGCCCGGTAGGTGCTCAGGAGTGGAGAAGAGACTGGTTGAACTGCATACCCTCCCACTTCCCTGGAAATCATACCACAACCTTCCCCTCCTGAGCCACGGTCAGCAGAGGCTTAGGGTTTGATTTCCTGAATGCTTTTTGGTGTCTGACAAGAAGATGCTAAAGAAGAGAAAGAGCAGCAGGCCAAGTGATTGATGAAGGAAGTGTTGGCTCTGACAAAGTTTGAGCCCCAGAGATTAGGGCAAGCAGGAGCAAAGTGTGCTGCCCCTTCCTGAGGGGTGGAGGGAGTTCTCTGGGTATCTTCACCTTGATCCCTTTGGATCAGCACTGAGCTCCTGGTTGACTCCAGCACTCCCCAGGTCTGCATCCTGAGAAAGAACAAGGCCACTGGCAGTGTGGGAAGTCAGGAAGAAAGGGAACCACCCTCTCAGAGGCTGTTAATGAGGAGGCCTGCTTTGTCCCGCCCTCCTCCGTGCCACCCTGCCCCTCAGAGGTTTCTGGTAGACAGAGATCCTGAACCAGCTGTGTGACCAGAGACACATATACGTCTTCATTTGTAAGTTAGTGGCATACAGATAGAAACTAATGTCCATTCACTCCCTGGTCCCCCAACCCAGCATTCCTGATTCTTAGAGAAAACATCTCGAGGCTTCATGTCACACAAGTCCTCTCTCCCTCCTAGCACCCCTCATCTCCAGGGCGTTAGGTGGTTAGCACGTGATCTAAGGCCAAGCCCCTCACTTTACAGATAGAAAATCTGAGGTCCAGAATGGGAAAGGGATGACCTAAGGTCACACAGCAGCTTGTGAGCAGAGCTGGGACCCGATTTTACTTCTGTTGACTCAGATCTTCCCAAAGACCACACCCCAAGGGTCTTCTCAGCACACCTGTCCAGGTGGAGGAAACCAGGTGGAGTGTGGCTGCCAATGGTAGTGGTGGTGTTGGTGGGGTGGGGTGGAGTGAGGGGGGGGGTGCAGAAGAGAAAGGTCTTCAGGGGCTGAGTTGGAGGCTCTCTAAAGTTCTTCCTGCTCTAGAACACTCAAGGTTTCCACAAAAAGAAGGCAAGAGAAAAATGATCACCTCCATTTTTTCAAATAAGAAATCAAAACCTACACAAGAGAAGTGGCTGGCTTGTTCTACACATATTCATTCATTCATTCATTCATTCATTCATTCATCAATTGTTCTGTTCCCTCCTATATGCCAGGTACCATTTTAGGTGCTGGAGACAAAGCAGTGAATAAGAGAAAAGATGTCAGTGCTCACAGAGCCTGCATTCTGGCGAATGACTCAGGACACATGAAACTAAACAGGTGAATACAGGCTAGAATGTCAATGCCACAAACTGAAGGTGACCACAAAGTCTTTGACAGTCCTTCCATCAAGAGGTGAAGTCTGTGTCCCTACTCCTTGAATCATAGTGGGTTCTGTGACAACTTTGATTACAGGCTGTGCTAGTTTTCTGACCCAGGACTCAAGAACACTGGCAGTTCCCACTTCTGGTCTCTTGGGCTACTCACTCTTGGAGTCCTGAGCCACCATGTGAGAAGGGGAACTATGCTTCTGCAGACACCACGCGGCGAGCCCCTGAGACTACACGGAGAGGGTGAGTGCCCCCAAGGAGCCCAGTCTTCCACTGTACCTGCCTTCTAGAGGGGCGCCTTCCTGAATTCTCCACACCAGCCCAGCTGCCAGCTGAATACCCCGAGTGATCTCACAGGATGCTAAGGGGAGCAGAATGGCCCAGCTGCTCTTCATCCAAATCCTTGACGTGGTCATAATAAAAGGACTGTTAAGCCGCTGAGTCTGGGACAGTTTGTTATGCAGCAATAGATAACCCAAAGGTCAAGTAGTGACAAGAATCATAAGAAAAAGTAAAGCAGAGTGAAGGGCTATAGAGTGACACGGGTGTTACTTTCTGAGCGTGTGCCTCTCTAGGAATGTGCTATTTGATCTAAGGCCTTAATAAAGGGAGGGAACCAGCCACGGAATGATCCAGGGAAGGGCATTCCATGCGTGGTAGGGGGGGATAATAATTGCAAGGAACTTAGGTTGGGAAGGAGGTCAGCAAGGGCTGATCACAAGAAGGCTTGGAGTCCTGGAGAAGGCATTGCACTCTCTTCTAAGTATGCAAGGAAGACAGTATGGCAGGGCAGAGCAGGGGAGCAATAGGATCTGGGCCGGAAAGGATCCCCTGGCTTCTGTAGGAGGGGAAACTGGGGGGCGGGGGAACCTGCACCGACAACACCCATTGGGAAGCTACCACAACTCACACAGGTGGCTTGGATGAGGGTGGTGGCAATGGGGCAGGTGGCAAGAGGCAGGATTCAGAATTTAGAGTGAAGTGGCACAATAGGACTTTCTGATGGCCTGGATCTGGAGGTGGAGAGGAAAAGAGAGGAATCGAGGATGGCTCCTGGGCTTCTGGCTTGAGCCACTGACTGAGAGGAAGCCCTGGGGAAGAACAGGTTGGGAGGTGCAAGCGGGGTACTTGACAGGAAGAGTTCTAAGATTCCTGACAGACACCCAAGAAGAGTTGCTGAGTAAACAGTTGGAGATACTAGTCTAGAGATCAAGGCTAGAGATATACATTTAGGAGTAATCAGCATGTAGCTAGCTAGCTCAGACTCACTGAGTCCTTACAAATCCTGGCCCCAATTCTGACCTCTACAAGTGTCCATGATATAAATGGATGGTATAAGTGGAGTGCAAACATGGTGTTCCAGACCACGGAGCTCGATGGGATTATCTGGGGCATAGACAGAGGTCCATCAAAGACAGGACTAAAATGATGGACAGTTGGGTTTGGCAGATGGAACTCGCGTAATGACTTTAATAAAAGCAGTATCGGAGCAGCAGTGAGGATGAACTTGCGATACAATTGGGTTGGGAAGAAAATGGGAAGCAAGGAAGGGGACAGTGAGGACACACAAGAGGAGCTTAGCTATAAAGGGAAGCTGAGAAATGGGGCCTGGTTGGTGGGGGGATTTTGAGTCAAGGAAAGCGTTTCTAGACAGGAATACTGCAAGCCTAACAGGAGAGAGGAGAAATCAATGCAGGGGAGAGAAGGGATGAGCACAGGAGCAAAAATCCACGTGGTAGGGGAAGGAATTTGTGAACAAGAAACCCAGTGACCAGGTAGCTGTCGTTTATCCACCGTGACAACCATGTGGCAGAGCCTCTGATGCTCAGAGGAGAGACCGCAGATGGCCAGTCCCAGCCCGACCACTGAATGGCTGACTGCTCTGGGCAAGTCTGTTTCCTCATCTTCATATGGGGATTAATCACCCCTATGCCATTGGGCTGCTGGGAGGACTACGCAAGCTATTAGCTGTGAAGTGGATGCTCAGAGGATAGTGGCTGTAGCAGTTCAGGCCCGGGTCATGCAACAAACCTCTTTGGGTCTGAGATTTGTAGTTCAGCACCAGCATGGGAGGGATGGGGCAGGACAATTAGCAGCCAGGAGTGTTGAGCCCTCCTGGGCATGCAGGGCCCTCCTTGATGTGGCCCCTGCCCCCTGTCTGCCATTCCCCACCTTGCATTTCATTGGTAGTAATGACCTACTGGAGGTCTCACATGCACAGACACGTGCTCATGCTGTCCCCCCTGCTGCTCCACCTGGAATGCCATTCTCTACCTTACGCTCGGTACGTATCAGTTCAGGCATTCTCCCTCCAGGTAACCTTCTCTGACTCTCTCTAGGCCTGTTAGGTGCCCCTCCTCTGGGCCGAGCATCCTGGCATTTCTTACACCATTTGCTCATCTCTGTGGGTTGACTGTGTGGTCCTTGGGGACCAGAACAGAGCTTCAATCGTCTTTGTAACCCCAGGGTCTGGCCTAATGAGTGTCTGCTGGACCACACTTCTCCCGGGTAGCAGATGAATTAGGGGGGCGGGAAAGGTGTGTGTGGGGGGTGCTGCATTGTCCAATAGAACTTTCTGCAATGATGGTAATGTTTTCTACCTGTGCTGGCCAGTACAGTAACCACTCAACATGTGTGTGGTTATGGAGCACTTGAAACGTGCTGGTGCAACTGGGCAACTGGAATTTTAATTTAATTGAGTTCAAATTAAATGTAAATAGTCACAGATGGCTAATGACTGCTCTACTGGCCAGCACCGATAGAGGGTAGGAGGAAGGGGTGGGGGAAGGACTGACTTATGAAGCACTTAGAATGCGCCAAGCTTTTGACTCTGTTTAACATGTTAATCTTCACAATGATCCTGTGAGATGGGAAATACTATTATTCCCATTTCACAGACAAGGAAAGTGAGTCTTGGAGAGAGGGAGTGATGTGCCATGGTTGGTCCTTCAACTTGAATCCTGCACAGCAGGTCTGCTGATCCCCAAATCTCTGCTTCTTCCTAGCACACTAGGCTGACCCCACACCTCTCCAGGGTCTGGCCCTGAAGGTGCTTTAGTGAGAGGCCTTTCCTCACTCTGATGTCTGCCTCCCATGATCGCTAGAGTACACATGGGTCAGGCAACACTGCTGCAGCCAGCTCACAGACATCTGGGGACACAGTGGGGCACAATGGCCCCAAGCCTGCTAGCATTCGGCTGCTTGGATTCCCGCTCGTGTGAGAAGCTTTGGGGAGTTCTCTCGATGCTGTTGTAATTTATTGTTTCTGCTCTAATGATTGCTCCATGTCTGATTATAAATGCCTTCTGGCTGGGGGCCCAGATTCAGAAAATTCCCATGATCTGCTTCCAAAGTTGATGGAGCCACAAACGGGACCCATGTCTCCTTTCCGTCATCGTCCGTATTTCCAAGGTGGGTGGGGATGGGGGGAGTTCAGGGCCTGACACAGGGCTCAGGGTGGGACTGCAAGAGGAGGAATCTGGTGGCCTGGAAATCCAAAAAGAGCCCCAATGAAGCATCTCCTGCATCCTAAAGAAAGAACCTTTGGGGTGGCACTTGAATGAGCCTGCTCCTCTCTTCTCAAAACAGAAGGCAGAGTCTGAGTCAGAGGCAGCAGACATTACAGCTCATAGTGACAAGGGGCCTCTGGACAACACAGCCCAACCCTCCAATACCCCTCTCCTTATCCACTTGGCAAATTCCTACTCATCCTTTAGGAGGCAGCTTTGGTGTCACCTCCAGCAAGAGGCCTCCTCAGACACCCCATCCCCCTACAGGTAGTCACTTTCTGCTCCCTGTAAACCTCCTCCAGCAGAGCACACAACAGTCATAAGTACACCTGCTATTTATCAAGGCGCTCCTCTTTGCCAGGCGCTGTGCTGAGTGTAGAATGCATTTTATCCCATCTAATCTTCATCCCATCCCTGCTGGGGAGGCGCTATCTTTATCCACATTTTATAGAGGAGGGAACAAAAGCTCCAAGTGACTTGCCTGAGGTCAAGCAGCTGTCAAGTAAGGGAGTTGGATTTGAATTTAGAAGATTCGAACTCAAAATTTTAACCTAACAGTATGTGTTTTCACACCTGTCATCACTGCACTGCAATGAGTGGTTTCATCCTGCACTTTGCAGGAATAGAGCTTCTGGGGCCGGAACAGGCTTAATCCCATACAAGGCAGGTGCTCAGGAATTGAATGCTGAGTGAACGTCATATGATGAAAACCCCACTGCAAAAAGTAGGTAATAAAATTAGGGTAGTCCCTTATTACTGGCAGGGTATTTAAGTAATCTCAAAAAAGCAATGGGTGAATGCTTCATAAGCAAGCAAGACATGATTGCAGAGAGAAATGCTACATCTCCACAGGGACTCAAAGACCTGAGTTTTCTGAGTTAGTCCTAATTTCAAATGTCATGTCTCACTAGCCAGTTACATCACTGGAATGGCCTAGAAATCTCAATATTTAGGTATCTAAACTCTATCTCCTATCTAAACTCTATCTCCTAAGTGATTTTTCATGCCCAGAAGAGGTATCCCAAAGGTCCCAGCAAGTCTTGTGATTTTCAATTTGGGAAATCAGGCCACAGAAGGAAAGAATGCCGACTTTACAGGCAGGCAGGCAGACCCGTGTTCAAATCCACTTTTGCCACTTATTAGCTATGCGATCTCGGGCAAATTATTTCCCTTCTCTGAGCCTCAAATGCAAAAATGGGGCTAAAAGCTGCTGCCTGGCAGGACTGTTAGGCATAGTAAATAGGAGAAGATATGGGAAAGCACCCAGGACAGTGCCTGGCACCCAGGAGAGGATCAGGAACTGTGAGATCTCTCCCTCTCTCTCAGATGGGGTCAGAGAAGAGACCGCCATTCTTAAGGAAGACCCGGCATGATGCAGAGGGCACGATGATCTGGTAGACCAAGGACCAGGCAGGAGATTGGCTGACCTGGGCCTGAGATCCAGAACTAGATGCTTCTTCATTAAAACACTCACAGAGAGTGTGCATCAAACAACAGTCGATACTAAGACCAGCTGATACTAGGGCAAAGGGATAGAGAGATATGGGCAAAATGCTGCCCTCTCCAAGCTATGAGCCCCCTGTGTGCTGGGGTGGAAACAACAGGAAAGGACAGAGGACCCGGAATGTATGGGGGCAAAGGACAGACAGACCATGTGGGGACTCAGATGCCAATGAGGAGCTCTCCCAGGCCTGGCAAAGTCAGGGGAAGCTCACGGAAGAGCTGTCTTACAGAATGGGTAGAGCTTGAATGAAAGGGTGTCTCCAGTTATGGAGGGATACCACACAGACAAAAGAGAAGGCATGGAAAAAGAGAAGAAATTTAAAGAATTGGATTGCCATTATATTATATTTTAGTTGTGTAATCTCACCAAGTTAATCACTCAATGCTTCAGTTTTCTCAGCTGTAGAATGGGGAT